CATCCCTATCAGGTTGGAAGCCATTGCTATTAGGTTGGAGGCCATCCCTATTAGGTTGGAGGCCATCCCTACTAGGTTGGAGGCCATCCCAAATTAGGTTGGAGGCCATCCCGAATTAGGTTGGGAAGTGTCTTTCGACGTCTCCCAAGTGCTGGCGAGGCACTGGACGAACCACACGTTGCCCACTTTCTTCTCCTGCTCCCCAGCAACCAACAAAGACTAAGTCTTGCAGCGCTCAACACGTATGAGCACCAAGAAAAGTCCAAAAATGCAAAAGGAACAAACAAGAACACCCAAATAATGTATATACACACGCATATTGTATGATACAGAACACAATGTAATATTTATATATCTATATGTATTGCTATATTTTACATCTACCATAAATATAAACCCATGGTCTTTAGGTGACCCGAGTCTAAGAATGTCCTTTATACTTCAGTCGGTCAAAATATCGTCGAACTGGACTTCTATATAAATAAAATGCTTTTAAAAAAAAGGAACAACGTTTTTACTCCACTCCTGATGATTGAGAGTATGAAGACGTGGATGGCGCATCCATTGGGTGTCTCACCTCCGTTCTCCAATTGCTCCTGGACCGGAAGGGCGATGGCCTCCAACCTAATAGGGATGGCCTTCAACCCCAATAGGGATGGCCTCCAACGTGATTCACAAGGCCATGCACTCGGCACGGTTAGCACATGTTAGCACTGTTACGCTTTCACCGAGCCGCTGCCTGTGACGCCGAGTGCTCTCCAGCAAGACAGGCGTCGCTGCTGGATTCTTCCTTGGAAACATCTCTCCCAAAGCTCTCTCTGAGTCATCAAGAACTGATCCTCCGAATCCACAGTTCTGCTGCGGATTCGCGCGCAAGAGGACTCGGTATCGCGCACCAAACCTCCTACCGCTATCTACCGCTAGGTTTGCCAAACAGCCAGCTGCGCTCCTCATGTACGAATCAGTCTTGCTATGCCAACTCTCATTCCGATTCCATGCCAAGGTTCCACATGAAGCGTTTTGACCGTCGAACACTTCCTTCCTGCCCATGGCCCATTCGTTCTGCTTGAACCAGTTTGTGGGCCTGCCAACATGGGGGGCTCTCCCACCGTCGAACGCCGAGCCGAGCGTTGAAGAACTCACCGGGAGAGTTGGCTCAACAGACACTCCGTTTCGAACGCCAGGATTCCAAGTGGTGTTCTGAAAGGAAAGAGACACCCAAGAGACACCAATCGGAATCGGCCTCCCTCAACAAATCCTGTGTCACGTGCATGGCAATGGCCAGTTGGACGTCGATCACTTGCCCAGCCTCAAAGCGATCCAAAATCTGGAAAGAACAACTGCAACATCTCAGTTCCATCAACTCTCCTCGCAAATGCGATGATAAAAAATTGAAGAGACTGATTCCATCTTGATTCCCATGACTTGAGGCTCAAAATGCTCAAAATCTCCCAGTAAATCCAGCCTGTAGGACCACTGGGGCGTTTGGCTGCAAGACCGCTTGCAGCCCAAACCGAGCGATGAAGTAGGCAAGGTTCGTTGAAAAGCCCTGGCGCTGTGCGCGGCCAGAACCGTGCGGCGGCTTCGCTGTGGTTCCTTTTCCTCCACGTCGACACTCGTGCGCAACGAGTCGACTCGATGCGCCGTCGATGGAACCGTCGATGGTGGTAGGTCCCGTGGCCCCCGTCTTCCCCACGGTCCGCCGCGATCAGCCCGGTCTCCCCGGCGGGTGCGCGGCCTGGACGTTGGCCGCGCTGACCCGCACGTTGGACATGGACTCAAAGACTCCGGACACCAGGAGTGTGAAGGCCATCCTGCGACACAACCGACCGGGGGACGCCAAAGGCGACCACCTGAGAAAACCACTATTCTACTAGTAGGTTGGAGGCCATCGCTAGAAAGGGGTGGAGGCGACTAGTAGCAGGGTGGAGGCCATGACTAGTAGCTAGTAGCAGGAAGCTGGATGTTTTGAGGTCTGGAACCGGAACATACCGACACTCCGAGGGGACGGACGGGTCGGTCCGTGGGGAAAGGCTTTTTGAGAGGTCAGGGAGGTCATGGATCGTTTTGGACCGTTTTTTGGCAAAGATACAAAGGGGCTATACATATATATAACAATATACTGTATACATATATATACATATATATCCTTATGAACCTTTTTGGTACTGACTGACATGACAGGGAAGCAGCTTTGATTGAACAAACGAATGTGCGTTTCACTTCACGCCTTCCATTCTAGTTGAGGAAAAGCCAACAAAATGTTGAAAATTCTCTCTTGCTACACTGCCAATGCGCAAGAAAAGGTTCTTGCAGGTGAAAGAGTTGTGTGGACTAGAGGGCCCGCAACAAACAATCTGCAGTTCATGAGCTTGGAAATTGTTGCAAAAGATAAAAACAGAAAGAGCCAAAGACCATTGCTTCGAGAAAGACTCTTATAACATCTATATTATTAAAAGGAACAGTCCATGTCCTTGGTTCCAAGGACAAGTCTGAGGCAAACCTTGCCCCTTCTGTCTCTGTGTCCCCTTCTGTCTCTTCGGCCAGAAACTCGCCCGTCTCTGACAGTTTGGCAGCTGCGGAGCCATCCGCGTCGCTCCTCGCGCTGGGAGGGTCTACAAAGTTGACGAAGGCCAAGGCGATATTCATCTCCTGCGGTTGGTCGTGAGTTGGGGGCCAAGTGCCATACGGGCCATGTGGTGTCTCATTTGCACGGAGTTGGGGGCCAAGTTGCACCAAAAACGTCGACCTGGAACGGACCCTCCCCAAGTGATCGCCCGCATCGTGTTGGGCGCCCGGAGGCTGATGACGTTTTTGGGAGGTCGATGTCTCGAACAACAGCGCAGTGACCGATGGCGTTCCTCAAGCAGACCTCCAGATCGGGAGGCGATCTCTCAAACCGACTGAAACCGACTGAACATCGGTCTTTTGGCACTTCTCAAGCCAGTATGGGTCGTAGAGCAGCCCATACTTAATGGCTTGAGAAGTGCCAAAAGAGCGGTAAAGAGGGGTCTCTCACGGGTCCTTCCGCCGATCGAAGGGAAGATACACAAAGTCGTACTTGCCGGCGGCGAACCCATCGAGGAAAGCCCTCGGACGTCAGACATTCTGCAAGCGGAAACCGAGCAGCTCATGAAGCTCATCCAGCTCAGCCTTCGGATTAAAAGAAGAAAGAACATGCAAGTGTCTGTTCGTATCTAAACGTCTTTTCAAGTGTACCCACGTGTGCGAAACCTGATTCCAGCGCCCAAAGAATCGTCCGCCAGGCTGCAGCAAGGAAGCCATGGTCATCTCAGGTGGTACCCGGCGCAACATGATGGTCGTCAGACCGTCCTGACTCGGACCACAACGGTTGACCGGTCGTCAGACCGTCCTGTGTGTGGTCGTCTGACTGTGAACTGCAATCGAGGCGTTCGCTGGGACTGCAGTTCGACTGGGAGAAGGAGTCACAAGAGGTTGGTCTCCACAAGACACTTGCGAAGGCTGTACGAACGATGTCTGAGAAGCGATCATCGATGGCTGGCACAAAAATAGACCATCTGTCCCACCTCAAGCATCTCATCACACTGCTCATGATAGTACATCTTGCTCATGGTTTCTGAAAGACTTCGATTTTTGCACGCTCAGACGCTCATGGTCGGATGTGTGGAAAGCTACATTTACTTCGACCCAAAAACCGACCAAACCAAGCGCTCCTTTCGACCCAGAAACCTTTCAGACCGCCCCTTTCTGAGTGAGGCACCGTTGGACCCCTCCGACAGGCCGAGGGCCCGTCCGGTTCCGGATCCGTGTATTTTGGTGAAGCTGTTTGAGGCCAAACAGCTGCACCGGCTCCGACGCTTTCCGACGCGAGGGAAGGTGGGTGTCGGTGTCCCACGGTGGCGCTCACCTTTGAAGGTCGGAGGTTGGAGTCGTCAATTTAGAGAGCGGGTGTTGGTAGGGATATACATTGGCCTTTCGCCTTTCAGATGCTTAGAAACACTATGTTTTACAGTACTTTATGTATGTAGAAGGCTATGTTAAAAAGGAAATCCAAAATGATGAATTTAAACAGAAAACTCAAAATCACATAATGACAAATGACAGCTAGATCATACCAGAGCAAAAGTGCAGACTATATTGGAGGTGGTAATATTTAAACATGGAAAAGTGCAGACATCAATCCAGGGGGTTGCAAAAACTATTGTAGAGGGTTATATCATCCAAGATTTCTAGTCTACTGGGCTATAAATGAAAAGATTCAATAAAGTTTGTTTAAAGAAATTAAGTAAAGAATCATGTAAAGGGAAATCAATAGGAATCAAAAGGACTTCCAAAAGAAATCAACTGGAATCAAATTGTTTTCTAAGGAAAGCGTGCCGAGCCTAGCACAAAATAGAAAATATAAACTAAGAAAGAAGAAAACTATTATCAAGGAGTCTTGGGCGGAGGCCTTTCAAAAATACCAACAAAACAAACAAAAAAACAAACAAACCAAATATTCAGCAATTTGGGGGGAGGAAGCAGCAGGGAGTCTCAGAATAGTGTTTGTTTTCTTTTTCAGAGTTTTGTGTTGTTTGTGTAATGTTTGTGTATTTTTCCTGTACGTGTGTACGTATTTTTGTTGATGTTTCTGTAGTTTTCTATCATTGTGATGCAAGTGCAAATGAAGAACCATATACAGTTTACTTAAGGCTGCTAAGGGTTTGGCACATGGACATGCAACATATATTGTAGTTTATTAAGTTTCATGCACCAAAAAAAAAACAGGAAATTTACATCCCTCGGAGCACCCCTTCTGATTTGAATCTGATTGAATGCAATGGACCCACTGATCGAGGCCGTGGCTAAAATCTTGGCGAAAAAGATTTGGTGAAGTCGGACACACATTGTGGAGACCCAAGGAGGAAGGCTGTGGTTCAGCCTGTGCTTTTTCAGGACACCGTCAGACACTTCGGATTGTTTCTTGATACCTTGCTAAACGTGCCATGATTTCCACACAACAAGTTGGACCCGAACGCGTTGGGCCCAAACACTCAGTCACTACGTTTTTTGTGCAAACCAAAACACAAAACTCTGTCACTCGGTAAGGAATAGTGAACAAGTTCGGAACAAAACGTGCTGGGTACCGATTTGAAGTCGTCGTGGGCAATGCACCAAGTTCACTTGGGTGATCCCTGGACACGTGAAATTCAATGTGTGCGAACCCTGACGTTTGATTTGCTTTGAGTTGGAGTTTTGGATTGGAAAATGATCATCATTCCCCATTCCCAAAAAACTTTTGTGATTTGCAAAGGAAATGCAAGACACAACATCAACCACTTTGCAGTAATATTCCTCTTGTTTGATGAAGGGATTTGAAACTAGCATCTGTCCATTGGTTTTGTGGGCCCACAGTCGTTGGTTCACGGCAAAGCCCCCCATGTAAGAATCCAGAGGCAATCGTCGACATCAAGAACAACATCTCTTCTTCCCATGCACGGCCAAAAATGGAAAAATTTATCTCACACAAGTGTTTGGAATGATATTTCCCCACACGAAGGTGTCAAGTTTACTTTGTGTCATCGCTTTCCTCTTTCTCCCCTTCTTCTCCTCATTATCCCTGTTTAGTAACGCACTATTTTAGAAGGTCCTTCGGTTGGCCGTTTTTTGTGCAACATGTTTGCTTTCTATAAGTCCGGACCAACGTTTTTCCAAAGTCCGCTGCTCAGCACGTCGTTCGGAGTCATCACCAACTCCTGGTATTGACCCCGGAGCAGATGTTTCGAATCGGACCAGAAAAGTCCTTCGCAAGCTCGTCTAGGTTTCGGATTCGTTCCTTAGAAATCCGCCGACCCCGGCCGACGCAAGGGGGAGCGCGCCAGGGAATAATGATAGATCCGCCAGAACTCAATCGTTTGGAGCAGAACTCAATGGGTTAAAGCCGTGGCGAAGGGGTGGTTTCAGATGCTTTTGGGAGGCTGGAAAGCTTTTGGCAGGCTGTTGGTGGAAGCTTTTTGGGAGGCTGGTTAGTGGTGGAAA